TTCTGAGAGTGTACAACCATTGCTTCTGATACAACCTATTCGTCAGAGAGTTGTTCTGGTACTTGTCATAAAGTTTATTCCACAACCGATAAGCAGTTGTTTAATCCACAAACTCCCACAATACTTCATCTGTCAAGCTCAATAGAATGGCACTATGTGCATTCGTCAGAATGTCCACCTTCTTCTCAGTCGCCATGTCCTTTGACAGTTTTGCCTCTCCTTCCAGTGCCGCCGCACATCGTTATTAAACCAGAAGAGCCCTCATCTTCACCTTCCACAACGTGAAGTCATTTGAACCATTGAACTTCTTCAAATCAAACTCGTGAGTAGACATCTTCAAACATAGGAATACAAGCCGCAAATCTAATACCACTTGTTAGGAAATAAAGCAGATAACTAGCAAAATTATAAGCACACAAGACACAATATTTATGTGGTTCGCTCCAGGTGATCTACGTCCATGGGAAGGAGGGGAGTATTCTTTTAGTTCAGAGCTCTCAAACAGAGGTTACAAGTACAAACACACAAATATTCGCCTATCACTCTAGAATTCAAGATACAAAACGACTTAGCATGCAACCCTATTTATACTTGAGGGATCAGACCTAAAACCCTAATAAACCAAGCCCATTGGCCCATAGGTCCATGAAAGATGTCAGCCAATCAGAATCTGACATGCAACAACTTCTGGAACAATCTTGAGCATTATCATCTTTTAGGCATACTTGGATCAACATGACACAACAATGGAATCAATATGGTATATCATGTACACAGATGGTCCATGATGGCGCCACAACTTCTTCGTGGCGCAACAGCTACTCTAGATGGCACAACAGGGATATAAATGGCGCAAGAGCATCAAGTATGGCCCACAAACATCAATCTTGGAGCAACAACATTACCATGGAGAAACATGCACATGCATGGCGCAACAAGAAGCATCATGGCGCAATAGGAGAACAATATGGCGCAAGAAGGAGTGTCATGGTGCAATAGCATCCTTATTGGCCCATCCCTTTATCAAATGGCGCAACAAGGACCCCTTGTTACTCCATATCTCTCCTAAGTGCTCCAAACCTCTTCCAAGTGCTCCAAACCCCCTTGTACACGATCTGTTCCTTTGGCACTTGCTTCGTTCCTTTGTCTAATGATCCATTCCTTTCTCAGAAGATGCGTTCCTTTGTCACATGCTCCATGAACCCTATGTGCTCCACTGAGGTCGAAGTGCTCCAAATGCTCAATGAGCATTATCCAAATGCTTCAAATGCTCAATTCACATTTGACAAATTCCTTAGCATTATATGTCAATAAGGCAACAATGGGAGGGGGGGGGGGGAGATGGAGTACACCTGGTGAACACTTAGTTCAAAAACACCTATAGGTTGCAAGCCTGCTAACGTTCCATTGGACTATCTAGAATAGTCTATGGTCATCATCTATACTCCGCTAGATGATTGGATCATCTTTAAAGTTAAGGCCTCTCATCATCTATATCATCTTTCATCTCTCAACATCTATATCATCTTTCAACTCTCATCATATATATCATCTTACATATACCCATCTTTACCCAATACATTTATAGGTAATAAAAAATAAATATACAACTACCATACCTCAGATGACTTTTTGGACTCATGTCATTGTGAGTTGCACTTGCGCAAGCATTGCTCCTGGTGCATCCTCGGCTACACGGTGCTTATGTGGCTAATTTCCATTAGGGTTTCCTAGTCCGCTATGCATTCTTACCATGATGTTCTATACACCAAAGCAGACGTTCAGTGTATAGTGATGAGAATTAATATGGGGAAAGTTCTATTGTGATAGATGTATACATCTCCTTATTGCTCTAAAATGTTATATTCTAGTTCTAATATCATAGTTAACCAATTAGAATCCTAAACACATAAATTTCCAGATCCGGTCGACAATAAACCATAGATCCTATAAAATACTAGCATCCTAAATCATATAAGGCATCTTGTAGCTATAACATAAATCGTTTAACACATAAAATCAATTTAGGCATCTTCCTTAAAATAAGCTAGTGCATGGGTCATTTCAGACATACTACCTACAATATAGTAGACACTCATCCATAATCATCGCTTTACATTCTAAGCTTAAGTCTAGAAATCCTAAAAATTCCTAGTTTGCTTAAACTAATGTTATGATACCAACTGTGACATCCTAAATTTTTCGGCGAGAAAATACCATTTTATTTATGCTTATTCAAAATTAGAGTATCATTTTTAAAGAATAATATTGCAAAATTTGTTCCCAAAAACATGATAAAAGCATTTTTTAAGAAATGTATTTTTATTTATATAAAAAACGTTAGGATCTCATCGTCAATACAATACATAAACATAAACGAGAATAACATAGACATTACAAACATCTTTTACTCTATTGGCCTAAAATCCATAAATCTCTCGTCTATTTGTCACACATGTACTCTCGTGTCACTACCTATAATGCAATAAACTGAGTGGGTCGGGCTTGTGGGCCTGGTGAGCACATTGGATTTTCAACCCGTAATAATTAAATTTTTTAATTATATATATTATCAAATCGTACTACCCGATTACCCATTCCCATTATCCTCCCTCTGTCCCTAAAACATCTAATTCGAGGGACCTATCCTAAGGATTATCTTCGGGATAGACAATAATGCCCAAAGTATTCCTTAACACTATATGTTAATAAGGCAACAATGGTGGACATGGAGTACACCTGGAGAACACTTAGTTTAAAAACACCTACAGGTTGCGACCTTGCTAGCATCCCGCTGGACTTTGTTGAATAGTCTGTGGTCGTCATTTGTACTCCAGTAGACGACTGTGTAATCTTTATTGTCAAGGCCTCTCATCAAAAATATCATCTTTCATCTCTTAACATATATATCATCTTTCACTCTCATCATCTATATCGTCTTACATCTACCCATCTTTACCCAATATATTTATAGGTAATAAAAATAGATATATAGTTTCAATTTAAATAAAATACATATTTATTATTCATCTAGCATAGATATCAGGAACAAAGATAATAGGCACGTATAGCATGTAATTATCTTAAATACTTTATATCTATGTGTAAGATGAAAGTAACTATGCACTCACTTGCTAAAGTGATGACTCGAAACTCGGATAGCTCTTGGCTTTAGCACTTGGCTTTTTCTTTTAACGTGAACTAGGTTCAATTAACACCAAGTCTTAGGCTAATATTACTTATGAATAAATATAGCCTAGATCCATCATTAATTCTGAAGTCTACTAATTTATAGCTGATGAGGGATAACCAGGTAGGATTATATCAGAGGTAGGGTCCGTTCGGTATACAGAGTATACTGTTTGGAAATCCCACTTTAAAAACCTCACTAAATCCAGCCTAGACATCATCCCCATAAGTAGATCAATCCATAACAAGACATTGGAACTACTGATAAATCTTATTTATAAATTCATAACAAAGACTATGAATTTTAAACATAAATTACACTAAAATAAAATAGTGTGTAATTTAATTTACAGAGATTCCCTAGACAAAAGTTTAGAAATTACACTGGTAGAACTTTGGACTGATAGCTACTAGATACTAGGCTCCTAGGGACTTCTATACTTGCCATAGTATCCTAACTACTAAGGAAAATTCGAACCAAATTGAGTGTAATCGAGAGAAAGAATAGAATGTTGTCGGACAGGAATGAGCTTTTGGCGTCTATTTATAGGCTACGATGTGGGCATGTGCGCCGTGCAAGGTCCTTTCACGCCGCGCACATGGTCGATGTACTTGCCCGGGTGTGGTGCCACGTGTCGAAATTTGGCTGGTGCTACGCGACGGGTTCTAGAAGGCTGCGCGCAAGGGGCAGATGCATGCAACGAAACTCAAACTTCAAAAACTGTGTAACTTCTTCATACAAGCTCCGCTTTTGACGTTCTTTTTACCCACACATATTAAAGCTCATATAAAATGCATGACTTGGTTATCCGATGTCTATTTTCAATTCTATTTTTTATCGTTGGGCTCCTATAAACAAGATCTTCAATTCTCGTTTTGATTGCTTTGGCTAACAATCAGACAATCTACAATTAGATATTTGAGTTGTCTACTACTACGTTGAATTTTATAAAAATCATAACTTCCTCTATTGAAGTCAGATTTGGACGTTCTCTATACGTGCCCTCTCGATTTAACAATTACTATGACTTTTGTTTAGGCCCCTAAGGCTAAAAAGTAACCTAACAAAAACTTATTTTTATACGACGCGTGCTGCTAAATCGGGTCAAATCGCGAAACTTCGAAAGTCCATAACTTCTTTGTTATAAGTCCGATTTAAGCATTCATTATATATTTCGAATTATTATCATGACTACTTCAACTTTCTGTTGAGTTCGAAAGTTATTGTGAGGTGTCGAAGTTTGTTTGAGTCTATATTAGTGTCAAAAGTTTTTTTGTTTGTTTATTATAAGGGAAATGTTAGTTTCGAAACTGTAATGTTTAGTCCCATATATTTTTTGTACGCTTTTGTTATCCCTATAAATATGGGATAGGTACTAGAGTTAGAGTAGTTCTTGGAGTCTTCGACTTGTACTCTCTATTTTTCTCTCTGTATCTTGTCAAAGCGTAATCGTGTTCATAATTCATCATATACGCTGATCTAGTTTCATATACTCGATTAATTACAACTACACTTTCGTTAAGGGTATCCTCCGTTATTATTATTATATTTTAGATGCATATTTTATTCATATGTTATCATATAGTTATAAGCATTTATACTACAAATAATCACATAATACTCAATTAATTTACCTTTTATTAAATAACTTATAATTGTTAACCCAAACTATTACATCATGTTATTAATGTCTAGCGAGAAACGTGGACGATTCTTTGCAAAATCCACAGCATATTCAAACAGGGACAAGCGCGAAACCCTCTTTACATTATCCCCACCACCCACAACCTTCAAACGACATGACCAAAGTTCAAGATTTGAGCACCCTCTTTACATTATTCCCACCACCCTCAACCTTCACACGATCAAAAGTTTCAGAAACAACACCTGGTTCAAACCCCACGCAATCAACGCCCATGTCCCTTTTGGGAACAACACGTTTGTCCACATTCCCATCATTCGAAATATCAATCACCTCTATCTGAACATCCATCACATGCGAAACCCCTCTAGCCAACTTTTGTGGATGTAAATGACAAACCATGGCAAGATTTTCAACATCACGATTACCAACACTTTGCCAAACAATTTTCCCTTTATTAACCGTAGGGAGAACCCCCTCTTTACTATAATAATCCACAAACACATTTCCCCCAAATTTGTTCCTAGAAGATTCAACACTGATATCTACACTCACATGATCAATAGAGGCTGGTCGAGAAGGCTCGACAACAGCACGAAGCCGCTCAACATCTTGCATGGAAGAAGCACGTGCTATAAAAGCTTCATTACGAAAAGAAAATGACGGCAAATCTATCGATGAGCTCCATTTCCAGATACCGGAGACTGCCTACCCATTTCTTTGCCACCACGTCCATAAAATCAACCCTCTTCTCAACAGCTATGCAATACAAACAAAATCTTAAAAAAAGAGGGGAAGAAGAAGGGAATAGAAGAAGTAGAGAAAAGTAAAAAAAAAATCTTGACATAACATAAAACTCTGGCATTTTCCCACGAAGCCGCCACAATGTACTCATACCGGCTGCAACAATCACATATTCTAGGAATTCATCAGCTACAACATTAAAATAATGAAAAACCCTAGCCATTTTCTCTTTGTTTGAATATAAAGTAAAAGATATTGGATTAGGTGTCTAAGCCCATAACTATTTTGGTATGTACTTAAACCGATTATGAGCATGGTCCTTTTGGGTTGCCTTCACTCATGCAACTTAATAGGATGACAAGAGGAGAGATTGTAGAATTTATTATATGAATAATAAATTGGTACTCGAAAATGGTTTTATTAATATATTACAAGTTTAATATATTAGTTGGAAATCATATTATTTAATTAGTATTGATCAGAAATTAATTTGGTATTAATTTGGTGATCAAAAGAGACTGATTAAATAAAATGAGACTGATATTGCAATTAACTGTTAGTTGCTAGTTGGGCTGATGGACTCCATAGAGTGGAGTGGACGAAATTTATGGGGAAGCCCATAAGATTTTGTCTAAAGAGCTCTAAGGAAGGAATCCATGGGCTGCTTAGGCCTTAAGCAGGAATTAGGGTTTCCATCAGAAACCCTAGCAGCCCACACAGCTATATAAGGAACCCTTTACATAGGATTTTCGGCCCCTATGAGTTCTATGAGAAACCCTAGCCGAAATCCTTCCCTCTCCAAGTCATCTTGTTGCATTGAGTGTTTCTGATTCCATTAGAGGTGCAACATTTGAGGCACTAGGCTTTCAGAAGTCAAGAACAAGAAGGATTGTGATTGTTATTGCTACATAACAATCACGGTAAACTTTCTAACCCTAATCAAATGTGTTTTTTCAGATTTGTATGCTAGTAAAGTAGGGTTTATTGCTTTGGTATTCAATGTTGTATGTTTACTTAGAAAAACCTAGATCAAAGCAAATAGGGTTGCATGAACACCATAGGATCGATGTTATGCCAATAATCCATCAGTGGTATCAGAACCAGGTTGTTTTTCTAGTTGAATAGATGCAAAAGTGAACTGTCAAAGGATAAAAATTCGAATTTTTGCTGTCTGTGACGCCGACTCGATGAGTCTATCAGTGGACTCGGCGAGTTGCTTGAACTCGGCGAGTCCATCAGTGGACTCAGCGAGTCCAGGGTGCTGTTGCCGGGATTTTCGATTTTTTGAGCAGATTTTGTTAAGGATAATTACCAAAACTCGTTTTTATTTCCTATAATCGATTTTTTTATCTTTGGACTGATTATCCTTATCAAAATTTATGGATTTGGTTAAATATGGATAATATATGATTATTATAAGTCAAATATTTGACCTAGTGAGTTTGAAAAGTTTCAATTTACACCCTTTAGGTTTTATAGTTTAAATTTGAACTTAAAAAGTTTTAGTTTTTTAAATTCAAATAGTTAAACCCTAATGTTTTGAAAATTTCAAAATTTGTCCTCAAGTTTTGGAATTTTTAATTTTTTTTAAAAAAGTTTTATTTTTGAAATATTAAATTCTAAAACCCTAGTAGTTTGAAAAAGTTCAAATTACACCCTTATGGCTTTATTAATTAATTAAGTGTATAATTAAAAGAGAGTTAATAAATCCATAATGATATGGTTTAAGTTTAAATAAATTAAAAGTATAATTTATTAAATTGGACCACCTAGTATTTTAAAAGTGTAAAATACATCCTTATACTATATATAGAATTAAAAGTCTAATATTATATATGAATGAGTAAAGAGTCAGTCTTACCGTTAGTAGGCCTCATTCACGAAGCTGGTCTATAAGGGGTGTTTAAGGAAATTGCCTATAAAATGGCGATTGAATGGGTATCCACTCTTTCCCACCGCACTCTTAACTAGTGGAGGGTCATTAGCCGAACGGGTAGGATAGGACACAACCTTCCATTATAAGTATAATGAAGTATGAAGTAACTAAACATTCTTATAAATTCCCAAATCTTAGTTACTTTAGGAAAAATATGGAGTTGGTGCTAATCCATGAAATTGCACATTGCACGTTGTTGGTCATTAGTGGAGCATGTGTGGTTTACCGACACGCTAATATGTGACCAATGAAGGATGACAATGGGTAGCTTGTAGATTATCATAGATCAACAGAGCGTGTGTGGTTAACGATCACATTGATTAGGTTATATACATCTTCGAGAGTACCAAGCTAATTTGCATGGTTATCCACACTTTGTTTGTGATCCTCGGCATCCCAGTTATAGACATGAAGGGCACAATCGAGATTTAAACATGCCATTGAAAAGTTCAATGAATCTCAAATGATCTAAGAGTTGCAATTCATTTAAAACCTAATTTTTGATTTTCTTTTTTCATGGTGGAAATTGGTAAATCGTCATTTACCTACCTTCAAATGTTCTGCAACTGGATTACGACATCCTTCTTCCAAGTTGTAGAATATTGTGTTGGGTCCTAGCGTTAATATCTCATTTGGGTGTTTTATGAAGGACTCAATCAACTAACTTGAATTTCTCCCGTTTTGCAGATGTCGAAATCTAATGACTATGGTCCTCCCAAACCTTTTGGAAAAAGCTTTCCACGTGAAGATGATGTTCCACGATTGGATCATGGAAATGAGAATCATGCTTCACTTCCTCCACCTCCTCCTATAATTTTCCCAGACCCACAAGTTCGAAGAGTTGAAAAGGTCAAGATCACTCAAGCCCTATTGGCAACAAGACAAGAAGATCGAAAGTCCGTGTGTGCACATGTCTTGGAGATGAAGTCACACATTGATAGGTTGGAAATGTTGGGTGTTGTTTTCCCGAGGAAGTTGGTTGTTGACTGGGTTCTTCAATCACTTCCCAAATCATATAGTGAGTTCATTAGAGAGTACTATATGAAAGATCACGACGTGACCCTCATTGATATGACTTATTTGCTTATTGTTGTTGAATGAGCAATGATTTGGCGCAATGGTAAAGAAAATGTGTCTGGTAAGTCAACCTCCCAAACTTCTGTGCACATTGATAGCAACATTGGGAGTCCAGAAAAGTTTTCTCTACGCAAGAGAAAGGTTGAGTCTGAGATTGTCCCGTGTGCTATTCCGAAGAAGTCCACTTGTTTCTATTGCCAAGAGAAAGGGCATTGGTTACGAAGCTGCCGTAATTATCTGAAGGATCGCGAAGATGGGAGAGTCAAGTTGTATGACTCTGCTTCATGTAAAATCCACTATCTAACTTTATTAAGTTCCTATTTTTTGATTCTTAATACATGATGTGATAAGATTGCATTTTGATGTTTTGTAGGATCGAAGAAAAGAGAGGAAGCTTAAAGAAAAATGAGCTGAGTCTAGTCACAAAGAAATGGATTTCGATCGCATGATTCGAGGATTGGATTTTTGAGCTGCTTAGAGTTATGATTGATTGCTTAGGAATATGTAATAACATAGTTTTTCATTTGAATTTGCGTTGTAAGGATAGGTTTTCTGCACCTTTTAAAAATGAAATAAATTTTGTGTTTTGTCTTATTTATATCTCCTTGCAATGTCATTTGTGAAAATTGATGCTTGTGTGTTTCTATTATAAGCAATATTAAGTGGATCTGATTCTTAGTTATGTTATTTATGGTAGTGTCGTAATTTTCCAAATAAGGAAAGATTCTCATAGGCCAAGTTTCAATTGGACAGTAACTTGGAATCATACAACTTGTTTTGTGTGATGAATGAGAAGCTTTGTATTTAGAAAATTAAGACTAATTCCTTGACAAAGAGTCAAGCGAAGTACTAATACACATTGTTCTGTATTGGTAAGGTCCACCACAAAATAACAATGAAAAGCTATTCGTCATGTTTTACTAAAGTTTTAGTAAATGTGGTTATACTTATAAGATTAAGTGTAATTCTGAAACATTTGAAAAGTTTTAATGTTTGGCAAAACGAATAAGAAGAATTAATTAGGCAGAAAGATAAAAGTTTCTCCAATCTGAAAAGATGGGAGAACACTTTAGTGTCATGCTTTATGACTGTCTTATTGATTATGAAACCATATCACAATTGATCCTCTGAGGACACCTTAGTGCACTAGTATGGCTAAAAAGAGGAATCGAAAATTGTTAAAATGGTTAAATCAAAAGGTGAATGATACTTCGTTCCAAAATCAAGTCTTAGATTCATACTCCAAGATTGTGACTTGAGTGACACATCTTAAGAAGTTTTAACACACTCATCAAAAGTGGAGTAGAAAAATGTTTTTCTTACTCTTGCACGTTTGAAATTGGTAAGTTGTGATGTCTTGGATTGGACAAAGACCAACTAAGACCAATTCTGTGTAGTGTTTGTCTTGATAAGAATCCTCACTAACTCCTAAATATTTGTTTTTCAAGAAATGTTTCTTGAGAAGAGAAACTTATATGTCAAGAGGTCAATGGGAGTCTAAATGATCTTGAAAAGATTCAAGAACTAATCAAGAGTAAACCTATTAGACACTGGCACATGACTTGAAGTTTGTAACCTATCGTATTGACACAATTTTGTTTCTATGCCATTCCAATAAAGTTACTTATGCATATGAGTTCTACGAGTTCTCAATTGACTGCATAAAGGCTAGCACCTTGTTCAATGAAAGTGCATTAACTAGTATAGGTGAGCTGCTAAATAACTTGGAAGCAATGGTAGGACCCTTGATGTCAAGAAATGAAGAATGAACAAGTTCTGTTCATAAGAGTTTGGATTTGTCACAAACATTATTTTATGATTATGGTTATGACAAATTCACATGGATAAGAGCACATACATCATAAAATCTAACTGTCATAAGGTTTCTCTCCGTTTCATGAAATTGATTGTGAGGAAATGCTTTCACTAAGAGAGATTTTAAGGAGATAGCAATTGTGATATTTGCGTTCTCAAATTTGATTATGATTACGGCATCCCTCTTCATAGTTCGTGTTAGAACAAAGTTCTATTAGGATCTATAGATTCTATGCAGGCAAACAATTGAGAACGTAATTATGAACACAAGAATGGCTTTAAAGATGTCGTATGATTAATGCTGTAACACCTCAGAAGAGCTCGATTAAGAACTTCGACTGTAGAGGTGCTTAGGGTTACAAAACAATAATAATGATAATCAAGAACATTAACTA